GAATAAACATTAAAAAGCGTAGAATTCAATTTTAAAAATAGTATATCATGAACTAGGTTTGAATCTAACCGATTGCATTTTTTTGTAAGAATGTTTTCCAGCATCAGAAAATAATCATTCAGAAGGCACTGAAATAGCTGGGAAAGAGAGGAATTTACGTGCCAGTACTGCTAGATTTGGATAATCTTTCTGATTTGTATACCACCAAATAAGGGGATTATGTATTTTATAGAGAGGATCTTCAATGAAGTACTTGTTTATTTGAGTCACTTTTTTATATCTTTCTAACTCATTATCTACCGCAGGATTAGAAACTTCATCATCATAAAACTGATCTATTTCAGTTCTTGCTAGGGCATTAATATTAGTATTGATTGTTTTTAACATTTCGGATATTAAATCTAAAACTTTTTTTTTTTTTCATTAGTAGCAAAAGACAAATTTTTGAATCGGGATCTAAATAGAAGGCAACATAAGCTTCAGTTAAAGGTGAATCCCAGCGAGCAGATATAGAGTCCTCGATTAGTTGGCAAACATTTAAAATTTTGGATAAAGTAAGGGATATTTTTGTACGATGCAAATATGAAGATAAAAGGGAAATAGTAGGGAGCATCATACCGAGAGTTGGGTATTGTGAACCTTCAATTAATTTGGTTGACTGTGCAAAGGGCAATAAAAGTAATATTAATTCATCCAACTCATTCCATTCAGATTTTGATAACAATTTCCTATTTAAATTTTGCCTATCTTTTCTTTGTTGTTGATCTGGATGATGGCTTAAGGATTTTGTGAATTGTTCTACAGCATCTTGTAATTGAACTAGCCTTTTTAAAATAAAATAAATGGAGTTCTACCAGGTCTTTACATCACAAATAGATTCCACAATAGAAACTTTATTTTTTCTTACTTGTTTAACTGACTGTATTGATGTTGATTGTGCTGATAATTCGTCATCACATTCTGATTCAGAGTCATTATCATCTAATAACGGCCATTCCAAGTCTTCTAATCTATCTGTTGACTGTTGAAAAAGTTCATTTTGAATATTACGAAGACTCTGGCGGTATTGGTCTCTTTTTACTAACCAATTATTTAATTTTTTTACTTTAATTAATAGATCATCACATGCATTAAGACCATCTTTTATAGCTAACTGAATTGTATGTGCGGTACATCTGATATGAGGTTTTTCAAAAAGACGCATTCCTTTTATGATTGATTTATCATTATCAGTAGTTCCTCCAATTAACCTATTACTTATATCCCAATGATCAAAAAGTTTAGACAAAAATTGTTCAAGGTGTTCGCCTAAGTGTGAATATAGAAATTCTTTAATAGTCAAGATTGTCTGATACAAATCAAAGTTTTTTGAAAGCCAATAAATAGTCACACCAATATAAGGGCGATGTATACTTGTCTATAGATCTGTCATGAAAGAAAATGTTTCTATTGTTTCGAATAATAATTTACATAATTGATCTTCAGCAAAAATTAATGATTCTCTGATTTTTGTTCTAACTAGTAATGAACTAGGAACTTTAAAATGGAAATTCATTTCATAACAAAATTGACAAAATTTTTGTCCTTCTATAATAGATAGAGGCTAGCAATCTTCAACAATCTATGCCGTCAAATGAAACAATAATTTTCATTTCTTTTTTGATTTATGAGGTACTATTTTTGAAAACATTGAAGGTATTGTTTGAATTGATTGATCGAATTTTATGATTGTTTGTCCTTGTGAATCTTTTTTGTATTGTTAATGAGGAAAAATTCTGTGAATTGCATTAAGATGTTCTCCAAGATGTGTAGTTGAAGTTGTAATGCTAAAAACTCTATCACATCTGTTTTCATTTCTATTTACCAACATAACTACATCACACTTGACCTCTCCTGCTGACTTGTTCTTTTTCATATGGTCCCAAACCCAACTAACTTTTCCCGATATTACATTAGACTTAACTACTTTATTTGTTAATATCTTAATACTTGGAGCTTTTAA